TGAGAATTTCGATTTAAAGCTTTCGTGACTGCAGGGATTATTTTATTATGTTTTATTTTTATTATTTTATTATTTCCATTCTACGTGACTTTACCGAAAGAACCAAGAAGATGAATCCCTGCAGTCACGAAAGCTTTAAATCGAAATATCCTCCATAATAGAGGTTTATATATCAATGTGTAGTTAAACCCGCCACCACCCGACACGCCCAGTGAGTGAGTGAGTCGTGGTGAGCCCCTCGACTGAGGCTGTCACTCGCGGTGGGCTGCAGGTCGCTTCTGACAGAGCCACAGTCGTGACTGAGGTGCAGGGGCCTGTCCAGGTGCACACATAGGGGGCCGTCCATAAATGACGTCACGCACCTAGGGGGGGGGGGTCAGACATTCGTGACGATGTGTGACGATGGGAGGGGGAGTTGAGAAATGTGACGTCACATCAAAATGCTGCAACTTTAAATAAATATAGACAACACGTTCTACTGAATTAAATAGACTTTTTAATGTATGTTTTCTCCTACAACATCAGAGTGCAGCGCCACATTAAATACGCACAATTATTTAAAGCGATTTGAAGTATGTTTTATTTTTTGGGGGGCAGAGCTTTGTGACGTCATATTTGAGGGGGGGTCTGACTTTTTGTGACGCCGTGTGACGATAAGGGAGGGGATAAATCCTACAAAATCGCGTGACGTCATTTATGGACGGCCCCATAGCCGCGTTGGTGGTTGGGTTGCTAGCCGGGACAATGCCCCCCCCCCCCCCAGCTGCGGTGACGTTCAAAAAAATCCCCCCGGGGGGTCACGCGAACACAAAGACAAAGCCTCCTCCTAGCCCCGTGTAGCCTTCACAGACTGCCGGGGCAAGTGCTGCCGCTGTGGCACACGAGAGGCGCGGGGGGAGGGGCTACCCAGCAACACCACGCCCGGCCGTCTTTGTCTCTCCCAGGCGTCACAATCACACACGGCAGCGGGTGCGAATTTGAGGCTGAGTCGACCTAGGGGTGGCCCACTAGCGCGGTGTGGGTCGTGGCCCGAGTGTCGGTTGGACCACAACAACGCAAAGACAAAGATCCCCCGTGTAGCCTCAACAGACTGCTGGGGCAAGTGCGGTCACCGCCACGCCGCGCTACGAACCCGATCCTCGCTCAAGGCCAACGCCGGTGACGAGTCTCTGAGCCGGTCCTGGGCCACACTCCCAGGCCCAGTATACATCGCCACTGGGGAGACAAAGGCGGTCGGGGTGGTGCTGGCCACCCAGCCCCTCGGTAGCCTTCAGAGCTGCCGCCCGCTCACAGCTGCACTTGCCCCAACAGTCTGCTGCAGGCTACACGGGGCAGCTTTTTCTTTGTGCCATGCTAGCGTGGCCCTCTTCTGGATCAACTCGGCCTGAAATAAACAACGGTGGGGGGAGAGAGAGACAAAGGTGGCTGGGGCCAGCGGAAGCAGGTGGCCACTGACTGCGACCCCCAGTGGTTTCCCCTCGATGGGGATGTGGGGAGGAGGAGGAGGAGGAGCGAGAGAGAGAGCGAGAGCAGTCGCCAGTTCCCTCCTCGCAGGAAGTTTTGGGACGAACATTCTGACATGTTGGGGAAGAGTTGCGATGAAGCAGGTGCATGTCGCTGTGTTGTGTTGTCGTCTGGCGCACGCTGGCAGCAGCGGCAGGTGCAGCAAGGTTGTTGTTGTTGTTGTTTGTGTTGTTGTTGTTGTTTGTTGTTGTTTAGGATCTCGAAGCCAATGTCGAGGTCTGCTGCTGCCGTGACGAGAGAGAGACACAGATAGACAGAGAGAGACACAGAGAGAGGGATACAGAGAGACACAGACAGACAGAGAGAGGGAGACAGAGAGAGACAGACAGACAGAGACACAGACAGAGAGAGAGACACACAGACAGAGAGACAGACAGAGAGAGACAGACACAGAGAGACAGAGACACACACACAGAGAGAGAGACAGACACAGAGAGAGACACAGAGGGAGACAGACACAGATAGACAGAGTCAGACACAGAGAGAGAGACAGACAGAGACACAGACAGAGAGACACAGACACAGACAGAGAGAGTTCGTGTCGTGTCCGCTGCTCCTCCTCCTGTTGGAGCAGCTCAGACCGCAGCGGGTTCACTGAGAGGTCCGTGGCCTGGTGGACACGCTCACCACACTGCTGCTGCTGCTGCGGCTTGTGTCTCTAATGCATCTCTGTGGATCTCCGTGGGTCTGTGAGCCTCCATGAGTCTCTGTGTATCCATTGGTGTATCTATGGGTCTCTATGTACATATTGGTGTCTCAATGGGTCTCTACTACTCTCTATGGTGCTTTTAGCGCCACAGCGCGTCGATTTGTAGCGTTCATTTTCATTTGTGTTGCTGGTGACCTTGTGTATTTCATATTGAAATCACTTCCAGTGCAATTGCTGTTGGCGGCAATAAAAGTTATTTAAAAGTCAAAAAAGTCTATGCATCTCCATGTGTCTCTGTGCATTCATTGGTGTATCTATGGGTATCTGTGGACATATTGGTGTCTCAATGGGTCTCTACGACTCTATGCATCTCCATGTGTCTCTGTGCATTCATTGGTGTATCTATGGGTCTCTATGGACATATTGGTGTCTCAATGGGTCTCTACGACTCAATGCATCTCCATGTGTCTCTGTGCATCCATTGGTGTATCTATGGGTCTCTATGGACATGTTGGTGTCTCAATGGGTCTCTACGACTCTATGCATCTCCATGTGTCTCTGTGCATTCATTGGTGTATCTATGGGTCTCTATGGACATATTGGTGTCTCAATGGGTCTCTACGACTCTCTATGCATCTCCATGTGTCTCTGTGCATCCATTGGTGTATCTATGGGTCTCTATGGACATATTGGTGTCTCAATGGGTCTCTACGACTCAATGCATCTCCATGTGTCTCTGTGCATCCGCAACGGGTCTCTATGGGCTTCCCACGTGGTCTGTCGCCTGCGCGCGCAGTCCACGCCTCGCTCGCTGCACGAGGGGGCGGCGGCGGCTTCCTGCCGACCTCGTCGGGACTTTCCGAGCTGTGGGCACGAGCCGCGTGGCGAGCGAGTCTGTAGGAGGAGCGGTGGGCGCAGTGGTTAGCGCGCTGCGCTGCGCTGTTCCACCTGAGTTCGATTTCCGCTCACGGTTCAACACCGGCGACGATTGCCAGTTCCTAGCCCCCCCCCCCCCTAGGTCGACTCGGCCTCAAGTGAGAACCTGGTGCGGTGTTAAACATCGCCACTGGGGAGACAAAGACGGTCGGGCGTGGTGCTGGCCACTCACCCCCTCGTGTGCTGTGCCGGCCTTCATAGGTGCTCGCTAACAGCACTTGCCCCTACAGTCTGTTGAGGCTACACGGGGGATCTTTGTTGTCTTTTGGTGTCGCAGTGGTGAACGCGCTGCGCTACGAACCCCACCCATTGCGCGCTGTGTGTGTGTTGACCTTAATAGGTGCTCGCTAACACCGCTCAGCCCCAACAGTCCGTGTAGGATACACGGGGTCAGAGCAGGACACCTCAACATACCACCCACTCTGATTGGGCGGCGTCTCGGGGGAAATTCCTCATTCCGATGACGGGGGCCTCATGCCAATGATGTAGACAACATTCCTATGTTGGTGATTCTAGTTATGATGATGATGATCGTGATGATCGTGTTGATGATGATGATCGTGATGGTGATTGTGATGATGATTGTGATGATGATTGTGATGATGATGATCGTGATGATGATGATCGTGATGATGATCGTGATGATGATTGTGATGATGATGATCGTGATGATGATGATCATGATGATGATCGTGATGATGATTGTGATGATGATTGTGATGATGATGATGATTGTGATGATGATCGTGATGATGATCGTGATGATGATGATCTTGATGATGATCGTGATGATGATCGTGATGATGATTGTGATGATGATGATTGTGATGATGATCGTGATGATGATCGTGATGATGATGATCGTGATGATGATCGTGATGATGATCGTGATGATGATTGTGATGAGGATGATTGTGATGATGATCGTGATGATGATCGTGATGATGATCGTGATGATGATGGTGATCGTGATGGTGATTATACGTCACTATGCAGTATTCGGGAGAAGAGCAAGTTTCGCTGGCTGGCTGGCTGGCCGCCCAGCGCGCATTCTGATTGGATGGAGGCCAATGCCCCGGTAGGGGGGAGGGGCTTGTGGGGAGCGGGGGGCGGCCTGGGCATTGTGACGTAAGAGAGGGGGCGGAGCGGGGGGGTTCATGGTACAGGGCAGGAGAATAATACAAGTGTGACAGGCTGGCTGGCTGCCTGGCTGCCTGGCTGGACGGAGGGAGGGAGGAACGGACGGTCACGTGACAACAAAACGTCGTGCGCGGGGAGGCTGCTTGCTCGTGATGACAACAACAACGACAACAACAACGACTGCTGAAGAAGATGGCGCGCTTGTAATTAAAGTGTGAGAGACGATGGAGAGGCGGGGGAGGAGCACGCGGCTGAGACGACTCGTGGCTGAGACGACTCGTGGCTGAGACGACTCGTGGCTGAGACGACTCGTGGCTGAGACGACTCGCGGCTGAGACGACTCGCGGCTGAGACGACTCGTGGCTGAGACGACTCGTGGCTGAGACGACTCGTGGCTGAAACGACTCGTGGCTGAGACGACTCGTGGCTGGCATCGTCCAAAGTGCTCAAACGACTGAAGTGAGCTCGTGAATGTCGGACACGCCGATGGCTTGAAGGGGCGGCTTGGAGTGGCTTTCATGGAGCAGTGGAGAGACCCTGGCTGATGACGCGTTCATTCCTTCATGGAGCAGTGGAGAGACCCTGGCTGATGACGCGTTCATTCGTTCATGGAGCAGTGGAGAGACCATGGCTGATGACGCGTCCATTCCTTCATGGAGCAGTGGAGAGAACATGGCTGATGACGCGTCCATTCCTTCATGGAGCAGTGGAGAGAACATGGCTGATGACGCGTTCATTTCTTCATGGAGCAGTGGAGAGACCCTGGCTGATGACGCGTCCATTCCTTCATGGAGCAGTGGAGAGACCCTGGCTGATGACGCGTTCATTCCTTCATGGAGCAGTGGAGAGACCCTGGCTGATGACGCGTTCATTTCTTCATGGAGCAGTGGAGAGACCCTGGCTGATGCTTGGGCGCGGTCTGATCTGAGACTCCCCCCCCCCCCACTTCCTCCTAGCCCCGCCCCCCACTCCCCGCCTGTCTATAAACTCCGAGTGGAGAGACCTTGGAGAGTGACAGAGGCGGAGGAGGTCGAGAAATAGTGAGTCTCCATGTCTCTGTCTGCGTGTCTCTCTCTGTCTCCCTGTGTCTCTCTGTCTCCCCGTGTCTCTCTCCCCGTGTCTCTCTGTCCCCGTGTCTCTGTCTGCGTGTTTCTCTCTGTCTCCCTGTGTCTCTCTGTCTCCCCGTGTCTCTCTGTCTCTCCCCCGTGTCTCTCTCTCCGTGTCTCTCTGTCCCCGTGTCTCTGTCTCCCCGTGTCTCTCTTGTCTCCCCGTGTCTCTCTCTGTCTCTCCGCCGTGTCTCCCTGTGTCTCCGTGTCTCTCTCTGTCTCCCTGTGTCTCCATGTCTCTTTCTGTCTCCGTGTCTCCCCGTGTCTCTCTTTCCCGTGTCTCTCTCCCCGTGCCTCTCTCCCCGTGTCTCTCCCCGTGTCTCTCTCTGTCTCTTCCCCGTGTCTCCGTGTCTCTTTCTGTCTCCGTGTCTCCCCCGTGTCTCTCCCCGTGTCTCTGTCTCCCCGTGTCTCTCCCCGTGTCTCTCTCCCCGTCTCTCTCTCTCGCCGTGTCTCTCTCCCCGTTTCTCTCTCCCCGTGTCTCTCTCTCCCCGTGTCTCTCTCCCCGCGTCTCTCACTCCCCATATCTCTCTCCCCGTGTCTCTCTCTCCCCGTGTCTCTCTCCCCGTGTCTCTCTCTCTCGCCGTGGTCGCGTGGATTTTTCTCCGGGTCGTCCGGGAATTCCCCTCCGCATTGTTGAATCGACGTCGCCGCGCCTTGAGAGTTGTTTGGCGGCTGTCAATTCACGCATCACGATGACGACGGAGGGCCACTTCGTGCGGCAGCCGTCATTCGTGTTGGCCGGGTCACTTCTGGACGACAAAACGAGTTACACGGCAGCTCGGTGGCCCTTACCTGGCAAAGTAAAATACTAATACGAGTTTGGTTTTAAAGGAAACGAAGCTAGAGGCGCAGCTCCGCAATTGCGCGTTTTCGCCCCTGCTGCCGAAGAGAGACTCACCATCACCACCACGCCGTGCCACTCACCCTCACCACCACACCGTGCCACTCACCATCACCATCACGCCGTGCTACTCACCATCACCACCACGCCGTGCCACTCACAATCACCACCACACCGTGCCACTCACCATCACCATCACGCCGTGCTACTCACCATCACCACCACACCGTGCCACTCACCATCACTACCACACCGTGCCACTCACCATCACCACCACGCCGTGCCACTCACCCTCACCACGCCGTGCCACTCACCATCACCACCACACCGTGCCACTCACCATCACCACCACACCGTGCCACTCACCATCACCACCACGCCGTGCCACTCACCCTCACCACGCCGTGCCACTCACCATCACCACCACACCGTGCCACTCACCATCACTACCACACCGTGCCACTCACCATCACCACCACGCCGTGCCACTCACCCTCACCACGCCGTGCCACTCACCATCACCACCACACCGTGCCACTCACCATCACCACCACACCGTGCCACTCACAATCACCACCACACCGTGCCACTCACCATCACCATCACGCCGTGCTACTCACCATCACCACCACACCGTGCCACTCACCATCACTACCACACCGTGCCACTCACCATCACCACCACGCCGTGCCACTCACCCTCACCACGCCGTGCCACTCACCATCACCACCACACCGTGCCACTCACCATCACCACCACACCGTGCCACTCACCATCACCACCACACCGTGCCACTCACCATCACTACCACACCGTGCCACTCACCATCACCACCACGCCGTGCCACTCACCATCACCACCACGCCGTGCCACTCACCCTCACCACGCCGTGCCACTCACCATCACCACCACACCGTGCCACTCACCATCACCACCACGCCGTGCCACTCACCCTCACCACGCCGTGCCACTCACCATCACCACCACACCGTGCCACTCACCATCACCACCACACCGTGCCACTCACCATCACCACCACGCCGTGCCACTCACCCTCACCACGCCGTGCCACTCACCATCACCACCACACCGTGCCACTCACCATCACCACCACGCCGTGCCACTCACCATCACCACCACGCCGTGCCACTCACCATCACCACCACGCCGTGCCACTCACCATCACCACCACGCCACTCACCCTCACCACCACGCCACTCACCATCACCACCACGCCACTCACCATCACCACCACGCCGTGCCACTCACCATCACCACCACGCCGTGCCACTCACCATCACCACCACGCCGTGCCACTCACCATCACCACCACGCCACTCACCCTCACCACCACGCCACTCACCATCACCACCACGCCACTCACCATCACCACCACGCCGTGCCACTCACCATCACCACCACGCCGTGCCACTCACCATCACCACCACGCCGTGCCACTCACCATCACCACCACGCCACTCACCCTCACCACCACGCCACTCACCATCACCACCACGCCACTCACCATCACCACCACACCACTCACCATCACCACCACGCCACTCACCATCACCACCACACCGTGCTACTCACCCTCACCACGGCTTAGACATCACACAACGACGGTCGTCACATCGCGCGGCGATTTCAGATGCTGTATAGTCAACGCTACACTATACTACTATACACTACACTATACACGACACACTACACACTGCACTATACACTATACTATACACTACACTATACACTACAGACTACACTATACACCATACTATACACTACACACTACACTACACACTAGACTACACACTACACTATACACTACACTATACACTACACTTTAGGCTGAGCAGACAGCCGCTGCTTCTGCGGCCGTCTGGAACGCTCTTCCCTTCAGACATTAGGAAGCCACTGAGATCTACGCATTTTTAAATCACCATCATCATCATCTACGTTGCCAAACTCACTTCTTTACAAACCGCGTTCCGTGTTTAGTTTGGGGCCCCTCCCCTGCACCTCCGATGAGTGCGCTTGGCGAGGTACGGTGCGAAAGAAGTTAGACGGAAGCAGCTGCAACCGCTGGTAGGTGAAGGCGCAGAGGTTGGTGGGACGGGTTCCAATCTGGCAGCACGTGGAGTCGAACCGGCCCCGTCAGGATTCGCGTGCGGATCACTCCAGCAGCAGCAGGAGCTGCAGCTGCAGCAGTAGCAGCAGCAGCAGGAGTAGCAGCAAGAGCAGTAGTAGCAGCTGCAGCTGCAGTAGCAGCAGGAGTAGCAGCAGCAGCAGGAGCTGCAGTAGCAGCAGCAGCAGGAGTAGCAGCAAGAGCAGTAGTAGCAGCTGCAGCAGCAGTAGCAGCAGCAGTAGCAGCAGCAGTAGTAGCAGGAGTGTGCCAGTCAGATCCGACACTCTGTGTGTGTGTGTTGTATACTGTGTGTGTTTGTGTTGTGTGCTGTGTGGTGTATGCTGTGTGTGTGTTGTATGCTGTGTGTGTCTTGTTTGTGTGTGTTGTTTGCTGTATGATGTATGCTGTGTGTGTATGCTGTGTGTTGTGTGCTGTGTGTTGTGTGCTGTGTGTTGTGTGTGTGTTGTGTGTGTGTGCTGTATGTTGTGTGCTGTGTGTGTGTGTTGTATGCTGTGTGTGTTGCGTGTTGTATCTACGGGACCTTTAATGTTATAGAATCAAAGTATCTAAAATTCCAAGAGGTAATTTAGTTTGTTATCTCTTACTGGTGGTGCTGGTGCTGGTGGTGGTGCTGGTGGTGGTGGTGCTGGTGATGGTGGTGGTGCTGGTGCTGGTGGTGGTGGTGCTGATGATGATGGTGGTGGTTCTGCTGCTGCTGTGTATATTTTTAAAAATACATTTTTAAGTTTGGCACAAAGTGGGCGAGTCCTTGGGAACGGCACCACATGGTATTTTCTCGTGCATCGTCAAATCGGGCAGGGTGATTGATACTCACACTCAAAACATGTTTTTAATTGACCAGGTAAGGCCCCCCCCCTACTGAGCAATGTGGATCTTTCTCAGAAATGACAAATACCGTAATAGCCACGGCTAGGAGATGTTAACTACCTCGCCTGGTAGGCAGGAGGTCGTGGGTTCGGTCCCGACCCTGACGCCTGCTGCTGTATACTTGGAGTTTGCGTCTCTCTCTCTCCCCGTGGTCGCGTGGATTTTTCTCTGGTTCCTCCTCCGGATTTCCGCTCAACGTTTAAAATCAACATCACCACGCGTTTACAGTGATTTGGCTGCTGCTAATACATGATGATGATGAGCGGCTTGGCTGAGCTATCATTGACAGGTCGCTCACCGACTGAAACAACGAGCTGCAGAGCTCGGTGTGGGCTTTACCCGATAAAATAAAAATAAACTTCATAAAGGCTGAGTCGTCCTTACTCGTTGGTTCTTTCGGTAAAGTCACCGTCGGTGGAAAAATAATCGATCACGACGTTTCGATCGCAACGCAAGCAATCGCCATCAGGTGGGACAACCGCAGCAAGAAAAAAACGACGTGACTTTACCGAAAGAACCAAGATTGAGTCGTCCTATAAAGGGGGCACAGGGCAGAGTGGGTTTATTGTGCGCTCCGTAGTTTGACTTTCAATACCACCGTGGGGTCAATCGCAGCAGGGCAGTCCAGACTCCAACTCCGCTAAGCCAGCGCCAGACTCCCCTCCTCCTCCTCCTGCCTCTCTCTCGCTCGTCCCCACGAGGTCGTTTCTCTCACGCCACCCACCAACCCCACCGCTCTCCCACCGCTCTCTCGAGCGAGCGCGTCCACATGCGGGTGCCACTCGCTGCGAGCCCCTCCCCCGGGGGGGGTAGTGGGGGGGGAGTAGGGGGAGTGGGGGGGAGTGGGGGGGGAGTGGGGGGAGTGGGGGGAGTGGAGGGGAGTGGGGGGGGAGTGGGGGGGGAGTGGGGGGGGAGTGGGGGGAGTGGAGGGGGAGTGGGGGGGGAGTGGGGGGGAGTGGGGGGAGTGGAGGGGGAGTGGGGGGGGAGTGGGGGGGGAGTGGGGGGAAGTGGGGGGAGTGGAGGGGGAGTAGGGGGGGGGGAGTGGGGGGGGAGTGGGGGGGAGTGGAGGGGAGTAGGGGGGGGGAGTGGGGGGGGAGTGGGGGGGCTCCCTCTCTCCACTCTTCCCACGCCTCGTCCAGCAGCTGTCCAGACTCCTCCTCCTCCGTGGCGCTGCCTGTGGCTCCACTCTCTCCACTTTGCCTCTTCACAAATGTCCTGCAGCCCCCCCCCGACGATGCCCCCCCCCCCCGCCTGCCCTGCATGGTCATCCCACACACCCTCCTCGGACTCAGTCGCCCCCCGGGCAGCTCCGCGTGGCCCACTGCGCTCATCTCCCCCGCGAGGCCCGCGGGCCCCTGACGGCCCCTGGTGCCCTTCAGCGTGGCCTCTGGCAATCCACAAACAGTGAAAACATCCCACATCACCATCATCATCCTCCATCATCATCATCATCACCCTCCATCATCATCATCCTCCATCATCATCACCCCCATCACCATCATCATCATCCTCTATCATCATCATCATCACCCCTCATCATCATTCCCCATCATCAATCACCCCCATCACCATCATCCTCCATCATCATCATCACCCCCCATCAATCACCCCCCATCATCACCCCCCATCATCACCCCCCATCATCATCACCCCCATCATCATCATCTCCCATCATCATCATCTCCCATCATCATCGTCGTGCCGCTGTGAACCCCCAGCAATGGCTTGCAGCGTGTGGCCCCCCCCCCACGCCGCCCGCGACGTCTCCGTGCCACTGTGGCCCCCCTCCCCTCCCCCTCTCTCCACTCACCCACCCAGCCAAGGCAAAGACAAAGGTTCCCCCGACGTGTAACCTCTAGCAGACTGTCGGGGCAAGTGCTGTTAGCGAGTAGCGGCACCTACGAAGGCCGGCACCGTAGCACACGAGGGGTGGGTGGCCAGTGCCATGCCCGGCCGCCTTTGTCTCCCCGGTGGCGATGTTTACCCTTCGCACCGGGTACTCATTTAAGGCCGAGTCGACCTAGGGGAGGCGCAGGTCCAGTTCAGATAATCGTCACCGGGAATCGCCGGGTTCGTGGCGCAGCGCAGCGCTAACTGCTGCGCCACCACTCCCCACCACCGCCATCACCGCCACCACCGCCACCACCGCCACCACTCCCCACCACCGCCACTACCGACCTCCCCATCAACCAGAGGGGGGCACCAAGTGACGTCACCACATCCACGGCTGTGGTGAAGGGACGAAGCAGGTGGAGGACTTCCCCACAACTCTGGCTGTCGCCTGACGAAGCTGGTTGTAATTACTGGTTAACGTCACCGTACTCAGATTGTAAATGTTGTGGCTTGGCTCTCCAACACACAACCGGTTAGTGCTGTACTAGTATACTACACTATACACTACATTATACACTACACTATTATATACTACACTATTATATACTACACTATACACTACACTATACACTACACTATACATTACACTACTATACACTAGTGCTGTACTAGCGACGAATTGGCCACGTTCTGTTTACGTGACAACCCTTACTAGTTGGTCGTGTCGGGTGGTGGCGGGCTTTAACGACACATTTATATATTTACGCGATCTCACCCAACAAAACCAAACCTGTATTATGGAGCCAGTTATATCGTTGTGACGTCCACCCGCCCGCCCTCCCTCCCCCCCCAGGTGTGCGCTGTGCGAGTCACGCTCCACGATGGGTTATCGATTTCACTTCGTCGAGCCGCTGGTCATCCTCTACCTGTTCGGCCAGAGCCTGTCGGGCCCTCCGAGCAGCGTCTACATCTACAACCGCATCCTGCACGAGATCGGGAACGGCTCGCGTAGCGCCGGCGGGTCCGCCAATGGTTCGCACGAGAGCTGTGGAGGGTCCAACGCCTCCGATGACAGCTCCAAGGCGGAGGAGGTGAACGAGGGGCCTGTGGGATATGGTGGGGGGGAGATTCAGGAGGTGTGTTCAGGAGATATAGGAGGTGTGTTCAGGAGATACAGGAGGTGTTCAGGAGATTCAGGAGTTGTGTTCGGGAGATGGAGGATGCATTCAGAAGAGACATAGGAGTTGTCTGTATGTCGATATATTCAGGGGAGATATTAATTGATGATCATTTATTATTTTACCAGGCAAGGCCCCTTCGAGCTGTCGTGTGGCTCCGTATCAGAAGCGAGACGCCTATCGCAAGTGATGGCTCAGTGTGGCACCCGCGTAGAAGGTGGCAGTAACCAGGGGAGTGATCTCGTATCTCGGTAACTAGGGGTGTGATCTCGTATCTCGGTAACCAGGGGAGTGATCTCGTATCTCGGTAGCCAGGGGAGTGATCTCGTATCTCGGTAACCAGGGGAGTGATCTCGTATCTCGGTAACCAGGAGTGTGATCTCGTATCTCGGTAGCCAGGGGAGTGATCTCGTATCTCGCCATTGCCGCTGCCGCCCCGGCAGGAGGCGCAGGAGCAGACATCCCAGTTCTACCTCTACCTCTCCCTGTCGGGCTTCGTGCCCATCATGGCGGCCGGGCTGGCGCTGGGCGCGCTCAGCGACAACCACGGACGCCGTGTGGCGCTGATGCTGCCCCTCGTGGGCGACATCCTTTCCACCGTCATCTTCATCCTGATCGTGCACTTCGAGCTGCCCCTCTGGGTCCTCTACATCTCCAACGTGCTCACCAGCTTCCTGGGGGGCACCACCACGCTGCTGGGCATCAGCTTCGCCTATGTGGCCGACACGACCACCAAGGTGACTCGCTTGCCTCGCCGTCTCCTCGGACGCAGTGGGGCGGTTTTATTTTTTACGTTTTCTTTTCTATTTTGTGCTCATGAATTTGTCGTTGTTGTAAATGATCCCCCCGCTCCCTCCCCCGTCCACCCAGACCCCCAATATGAATCCAAATTCTCAGAAGTGTGATTTAGAGAAATGAAGTTGCGGAACTGAATTAGGTGCGTTTCAAAGCTACACAACGGGGCGCTAAACTGCAATGCATCTCTACGGCTCGGCTCAGGGTTACCTCTGGCTCGAGAGAGCCGTGGCTCGAGTGAGAGCCACGCTTAACTTGAGCCAGCCCCTGATCAATGGTCCCAGCCATGGCTCAGGATTTCTACGAGCGGAGCCACGGATTAGCCGGATCATGCGTCGTAAAAAGAGTGGTTCAAGCCCGAGTACAGGGACTCCTCCACTTACAAACGAGTTAGGTTCTAGAGGTCTGTTCGGAAGTCGATTTGGTCGTAAATCCCCACTTTACTCCTGTTGATTTCAAACGTGTTATACGGCACGTACACTAAACATGGGGAATGGCTTTAAAAGTTGTATAATCTTATGTAGATGTAGATGCCACTGGTTCTTCACGTTTGTAGATGTAGATGCCACTGTTTTTTTCACGTTCAGCAGATCTAGATGCCACTGGTTCTTCATGTTCTACAGATGTAGATGCCACTGGTTCTTCATGTTCTACAGATGTAGATGGCACTGGTTCTCTACGTTTTGCAGATGTAGATGCCACTGGTTCTTGACATTCTGCAGATGTAGATGCCACTGGTTCTTCACGTTCTGCAGATGTAGATGCCACTGGTTCTTCATGTTCTACAGATGT